TTTTCTTGATGCAATGCAGGTGCTCAAGTGGAGTACCATCAGGGTATCAAATGTAGCTGGAGAACTATCTTTGCTATTTGGTTTGTTATTGTGGGTAACAACCTACCCTCGGATAAGGCAAAAAATGTTTGAACTCTTCTTTTACACTCATCACTTGTACATTCTCTTCATGATTTTCTACATTTTCCATCTCGGCTTCTCTTATTCCTACACCATTCTTCCCGGTTTCTATCTCTTCATGGTCGATCGGTTCTTGAGGATATTACAATCACGACAAAGCGTTCATTTAGTTTCTGCTCGTGTCATATCATGTGAAATTGTGGAGCTCAACTTTTCTAAGAGCCGAGGTAAAGCAATAAACTATATTTAATTTGATACCTAAGTTCTTTTTATGATCGTTGATATGCATAAAGTGCAATTCTAACAACATTGAATTCATCCTAGATGAAGTTTACAACAAGGGCGGGGCTACATGTATGTGAGTGATTTTAGATGACTACACCATTCAAATTTGAAGAAAAAAAATTATAAGGGTACTAGGAGTTTTTCAAAATGAATCTAATGGTCAATGATTGTCCTGGTTTTGTTTTCACTTCTCCTTTCTCATGATTATCTTGGACAATTTGATCTAAAAAAAGAGCTTTAAAATGTCAATTATTTTTGTATATAGACATAACATGGATAATTTTGGTTGACTTGACTTAAGTTCTTAATTTTGGCCTTGGGAGTGGACGTTTTTTTGGAAAATGGTTAAAAGTTAATTTTTTGACTTTTTTTTTATCTTTTTTGTGTAAAAAATATGAGAGTTAATATGACTTAAAATGGGTTAAAAATTAATTTTTGACTTTTTATTTGCTTCCCAAATGGCCCCCAAGTGATAGCACTAGTAGACAACATTGTGTAGTACTGCCATATGGTGACATTGTTTCCACTTACAATTTTCATAATTATTTTGGACACCTTTAAAAAAAAAAAATGAGAAAAGAAAAGAACCTTTAAAATGTCAATTCTTTTTATATATAGACATGACATATGGACAATTTTTATTAACTTGTCGTAAGCTCTTAACCTTGGCCTTGGGCGTTGAGGCTACTGGCCAACATTTTGTGCACTGCCATGGGTGGACCAATCTTGACCCTCATTGGGTTAGTTTTAATGTTTGCTTAGCGCACAATTGAACTATCTTTCTCTATAGTATTATGTTTCTGTGTTTTATTTTTACATACAATTTAATAAATTTTAATTACTTATATCCATGTCAAAGGAAATATATAATATTATAGTGTATTATGTCAAATTTTAATACATTTTGTAAAACTAAAATCTACTCCACTAAATGATGTGTTGTTAAACGACTCCATTAAATGAAAATTCTAATTACGCCACTGGTTTATAATCCATCAAGATGAATGCAAGTATTGACTTTACTGCAATCAATGCAATTTCTAGAGAAAAAAATTTAAAATTTAAAAATCTGCACTTTGGTTTTGTTTTCAAAATCTATTTTTAATTTTTTTTATTTATGAAAAAATAGAAACTAATATATTTTGTCCTAAAAAAGATGAAAAAAAAGCATACAAACGATGAGTTTTGTTTATTTTCATTTTTTTTTGCAATTTATTCTTTAAAAAAAATTCAAAAAACAGATTCCGACAATTTGAAGCACCTTTTTCGTAGGACTGTTTTTATTTTGATCTTGTGCAGCTTTGAGTTACACTCCAACAAGCATCATCTTCATAAATGTGCCCTCCATTTCAAGACTACAATGGCACCCTTTCACCATTAGCTCAAGTAGTAATCTCGAACCGGACGAGCTAAGCATCATCATAAAAAATGAAGGAAGTTGGAGTGAGAAGCTCTATCAGATGCTTTCTTCACCATCTCCGGTGCATCATCTTCGCATGTCCATTGAAGGACCTTATGGACTTTTTTTGAAGGTAAGTGAGCCCGCCTTTTAATGAGTCTCATACACTACTTTATAGTTCAAAATTTAAAAATTTAATCATTGTATTATATTATTTGCAACAGAAAATCATAACAGGATTATTGCTGGGAAAAAAAAATGAAGAGAATTCAAGTCCTCTCAAAGTTGTCCTATTCATCTTTGTAATTTTCAAATTTCATCTTAGAACAAACTTAATCTTGTATTGAAAATTAAATTCTTTTCTTTTCTTTTCTTGATGCAATGCAGGTGCTCAAGTGGAGTACCATCAGGGTATCAAATGTAGCTGGAGAACTATCTTTGCTATTTGGTTTGTTATTGTGGGTAACAACCTACCCTCGGATAAGGCAAAAAATGTTTGAACTCTTCTTTTACACTCATCACTTGTACATTCTCTTCATGATTTTCTACATTTTCCATCTCGGCTTCTCTTATTCCTACACCATTCTTCCCGGTTTCTATCTCTTCATGGTCGATCGGTTCTTGAGGTTCTTACAATCACGACAAGGCATTCATTTAGTTTCTGCTCGTGTCATGTCGTGTGAAACTGTGGAGCTCAACTATTCCAAGAGTCGAGGTAAAGCTATAAACTATACTTAATTTGATGCCCGAGTTCTTTCTATGATCATTGATATGCATATTAGTAGATACGTTATTACCGTACATAAAGTGCAATTCTAAAAATATTGAATTCATCCTAGATGAAGTATATAACAAGGGCGGGGCTACATGTATGTGAGTGAAGTTAGATGACTACACCATTAAAATTTGAAGGAAGGAAAATTATAATATAATGGTACTAGTAGCTTTACAAAATGAATCTAATGGTCAATGATTGTGCCTCCTGGTTTTGTTTTCACTTCTCTTTTCTTATGATTGTTTTGGACAATTTGAACTAAAAAAGAGCTTTAAAATGTCAATTATTTTTGTATATAGACATAACATGGATAATTTTGGTTGACTTGACTTAAGTTGTTAATTTTGGCCTTGGGAGTGGACGTTTTTTTGGAAAATGGTTAAAAGTTAATTTTTTGACTTTTTTTTTATCTTTTTTGTGTAAAAAATATGAGAGTTAATATGACTTAAAATGGGTTAAAAACTGATTTTTGACTTTTTATTTGCTTCCCAAATGGCCCCCAAGTGATAGCACTAGTAGACAACATTGTCTACTGCCATATGGTGACATTGTTTTCACTTACTATTTTTCATAATTATTTTGGACAATTTAACCTTTAAAAAAAAAATCCTTTAAAATGTCAATTCTTTTTATACATAGACATGACATATGGACAATTTTTATAAACTTGTCTTAAGCTCTTAACCTTGGCCTAGGGCGTTGAGGCTACTGGCCAACATTTTGTGCACTGCCATGGGTGGACCAATCTTGACCCTCATTGGGTCAGTTTTAATGTTTGCTTAGCGCACAATTGAACTATCTTTCTCTATAGTATTATGTTTCTGTGTTTTATTTTTACATACAATTTAATAAATTTGAATTACTTATGTCCATGTCAAAGGAAATATATAATATTATAGTGCATTATGTCAAAATTTTAATACATTTTGTAAAATTAAAATCTACTCCATCAAATGAAAATTCTAATTACACCACTGGTTTATAATCCATCAGGATGAATTCAAGTATTGACATCGTTGCAATCAATGAAATTTCTAGAGAAAAAAATTAAAATTTAAAAATCCTTACTTTGGTTTTGTTTTCAAAATCAATTTTTGATTTTTTTATTTATTTATGAAAAAATAGAAACTAATATATTTTTTCTCAAAAAAAAAAAGGAAAAAAAAGGTATACAAATGATGAGTTTTGTTTATTTTCATTTTATTTTATTTTTTTGCCAGTTTATTCTTAGAAAAAATTCAAAAAATAGATTCCGATAATTTGAAGCACTTCTTTAGTAGGATTTTATTTATTTTGATCTTGTGCAGCTTTGAGTTACACTCCAACAAGCATCATCTTCATAAATGTGCCCTCCATTTCAAGACTACAATGGCACCCTTTCACCATTAGCTCAAGTAGTAATCTCGAACCGGACGAGCTAAGCATCATCATAAAAAATGAAGGAAGTTGGAGTGAGAAGCTCTATCAGATGCTTTCTTCACCATCTCCGGTGCATCATCTTCGCATGTCCATTGAAGGACCTTATGGACCTATTTCAACTGATTTTCTTAGGTATGTGCAAAATGTGAATACATATGGGTATGTTTCTCCTATGATTAATTGCATTTTTGGTGTCTAACGGTTGCATTGTGTGTCATTTCAGTACCCAACATTTTACCGTGTCAATTTTCTCCTCAAAAATATTCTCTATTTAACAAAAGCTAAGAAAATGTCTCGTTTTATTTTTTTGAAATTTTGTCTTTTGTAATTTCTTTAAAAAATTGGTGTCAATTTTTTTTTCTTCTCAGGTCCTTTTCTAGTTTGATTTGAATGATCTAAAAATTTTCAAAAATCTCCCCCCAAAAAAAATATATATATATATATCACAAAGGACTAAAATATATATTTATATTTTTTTACAATTTTGTCTTTAGTGGAATTTTTTCAAATCTTTATTTAATTTTTATGCTCTTCTAGTTTAGGAAGACCTAAAAGTTAAACCTTTTTTTTTTAAAAAAAAAAAAAGAAAAAAGAAAATTCATTAAAAACAAAAAAAAAAAAATCAATAAAAAAAGTTGACAAAAGGCATTGAGTAGTGCCATTCATGCCCAAAAATTATAGAAAAATGTTATGGATTCCAAATAATTTACCAAATTTTCTATCAGAGGTTTGATAGAAAATTTGGTAAATTATTTGAGATCCCTAACATAATTCAAAATCATATCTACTTTTCAAACTCAATAATGTGACAATCTATTTGAATATCTAAGGCAACTCTAATTTTCATATTTTTTCTAGTCATTAATCAATCATATATTTTTTTTCTTTTTGATCGACAAAATAAAACCTTTATTGATGAACAAGAAATCATTACATCAAGAAAGGAAAGAGATGAGTGCAAAAAGTATCATAGCGAGACATATCAATCCTTACTAGGTTGGCATCAATATGCCCACCCAATCTCTTGCTAGTATGTCATCAAGAGTTTGTGAGCTACTAACCAAAGCCAAGAAAAAACCAGCAATAAACATAACAAACAACACCAAAATCAGCACCAAAACACCAACATCAGCACCCAAAACAGCACTTTACAACACCAAAAAGCAGCAGCAACAGCAACACTACCAACAATCAACAGCAAGTGGCAGCCGCAGCTGACAAGCAGAGATAGCTCAGAGCCCAACTAGCAACAAGGCATCAAACAAAGGACTACAGCAGAAGAAAACCTGCAGCACACCCTTCTTTAACAGCAAAGATCACTCCAAAGCTCAAGACCATCTCAACCTCCACCAATGCATACTCTGACCTCCCTTATGTTTGATACCAAATCATGGATTGAAAAATGGACACCTTTCAAACTTGATTTGGCCCACATTGCCACTCTAACCTTTATAAGCTCCTCTACATCAGCAAATTTCGGATTAAGACCATTGAATACACATTCATTCCTTACCTTCCAAATGGACCAAAACGTTGCAAAAGATAACAGTTTCCAAACCTACAATTCCAACTTTTTAAACTTAACCCTCACCCACCAATTCATCAGACCCTCCACATTTGCAGGTGTTACCCAATTGATTCCCCACCAATCCAGCAAATCTGACCACACCTTCTATACTCTTGGGCAATGAAAAAGCACGTGAGAACCTGTTTCAACCTCAGCTTTGCAAAAAGGGCACATAGATTCTTCACTGCGTCTAATGACCCCAATGTTGTGTAAGAACCCTGCTGTTTTAACCCTGTCTTTCCAAGCTAACTACCTAAAAAATTGTACCTTTGGTGGAGCTACATTTTGCCACAACCACTTAGCTACTTTCTACCTATACCCACACCTAGCTTCACACCAATTTTTGATTGATGCCATAGAAAAAAGACCTGAAAAGGCAGCCACCCAGATCAATTGATCATGGCTATTTGATCTATGATATGATGCATTTGACAGCATCCCTTGTAATCTAATAACTTCCTCCTCTTCCCAAGCCAAAAGGGGTCTTCTAAATTAAACACCCACTCCCCAGAACTCTGCATTCTTTGAGCAAACTCTTTCAAAGATCCTTCCATATCCATGGATAGGCTAAACAACCTAGGAAATTTCTCTTTAATTAGAATGTTCATGTGCCACTTGTCATTCCAAAACTGAATTCTACAACCATCACCAATCTCTATCCTCATATTACTTTCATAAAAGTCATGCAGTGGATAGTTAATCTTACTACATGCAAAATGTCACTCCAAATCCTGGAAACCTTCCCTTCATCTGCAGTGATCAAGTCAGGCAGCCATCTACCCCCTTGAGAACCATACTTGCTAACCAAAACTTGTTTCCACAGAGCATTTTCATCCACCCCATACCTCCACTACTATTTCAATAGCAGAGCCTCATTCATCTCCCTAATCCTCCTAACACTTAACCCTCCTTGCTCTTTTGGCTTTGTCACTTCCCCCCATTTAACCATATGCATCTTTCTCTTTAGATCGAAGCCCTCCCAAAGAAAAGATGCCTGAATCCTGTCAATCACCATGGCCACACCTTTAGGAATTACAAACAAAGACAGGTAATAGCAACGTGAATTAGAGACTGCTGACTTTATCAATGTCAACCTACCAACAAATGACAGAAATTTGCTCTTCCAAGATGCCAACTTACACCTGATCTTATCAACTGCAGGTTGCCAAATCTTTCTACTTCGAGGACTAGCACCAAGAGGAAATCGTAGATATTTAATGGGAAGCTTCTGACTTGTGCAATTCAAAATAGAGGCAAACTCCCAAATGTTCTCATCATCCACACCCACACCACACACAACACTTTTGTGAAAATTAATCTTGAGCCCTAATATCACCTCAAAACACCTAAGTATCCTCTTGATGACTAAAATTTCCTCCTCCTTTGCTTCACAAAATATTATAGTGTCTTCTGCAAACTGAAGATGTGACAACTTTAACTCAGCTAGCCCTACTGATGCACCTTTCAATAGTCCCAACTCCTTTGCCCTTTCTAACAGAATATTGAGACCTTCAGCTACTATGATAAATAAGAAATGTGAGATTGGATCACCTTGCCTAATCCCTTTCTGAGGAGAAAACTCTTCCGTAGGAGACCCATTTACTAACATGGAACTTTTGGCTTTGCTTACACAAGATATCATCCAATTTTTCCATTTATCTCCTAACCCCATATTAGACATCATAGAAAACAGATAATTCCAGTTCACTGAGTCGTAAGCCTTTTCAAAATCAACCTTCAAAATGACTCCCTTCTTCTTTGTCTTCTTCCACCAATCAACTACCTCATTTGCAATCAATATCCCATCGAAAATGTTTCTACCACCCAGAAATGCTGATTTTACCTCACCAATAACATCTGGTAGAACCTTTCTAATTCTTCTTGAAAGTACTTTAGCCAAAATTTTATAAACTGAACTAACCAAGCTAATAGGTCTATAATCACTTAATCCATTGGGACTATCTTCTTTAGGGATCAAGGTTATGAATGAGCAATTCAAACCTTTTACTAACTTTCCATTAGAATGAAACTCCTTCATAAATTGAATCACCTCACCCTTCATATATTTCCAACACTTCTGGGTACAAGACAAGTTAAAACTATCAGGCTCAGGAGCTTTGTTTCCATTACAATCCTTTACCGCTTCCCAAACTTCCATGTCAGAAATTCAACTTCAAGTATCTCCACAACCTTTGATCTACTCACTGTTAACATAAAACCTGCAAGCTGATACCCACTCTTCTTTGAATAGCATAGAAAAATGCCTTAGCACTTCCTATTTCACTTGATCAGGCCCCTCAACTCTAACCCCATTAACCTCCACTGAATCTACTAGATTTTTGGTGAATCTCCTGTTAGCACTAAGAGGAAGAACCTTGTGTTTTTATCCCCATTTAATGTCCAATCTAATCTTGACTTCTGCAGCCATATCCACTCCTTTCTCCTTCTTAATTTCCATACTAGACTTTTGACCTCCCTTCTCCTTGACACCTTCTGTGGGAACAGTGCTCTTGATTCAGCCATCAAGTCCAAATCATGTAATTCATCCTCTGCCTTCATGAGCTGGCAATCCACATTTCCAAACACTTCCTGATTCCATTTTTTTAGATCATTCTTTAGACAAGTTAATTTCCTTACAAATCTATAACAAGCCCATCCATCAACCTGTGAATCTAACCATCATTTCTGCACTACTTTCAGGAAACTAGGATGTAGGGTCCAAGCATTCAAAAATCTAAATGGTCTTGGCCCCCCAATTCCTATCATTCTCCCTTCGTATTATGGGGCAATGACTTGATACATCCCTAGGTAGACCCTACACTTTTAACTTAAACTTCTCTAACCACCTCGGATCAACTAAAAACCTATCAATCCTATTCCATCTCTCCCTTTCAAGTGAATTACACCAGGCAAAACTTCTCCCTCTCATTGGCAAATCATCTAATTCCATTCTCTCAACGAAATTACCAAAATCTCTCATCTCCTTATCCCTCCTAGATACTCCTCTTCTCTCAAATAAATACCTAATTTCATTAAAATCACCACCAACACACCAAGGTTTTGGGAACCCATTTTTAACATTAACTAGATTCAATGAGGCTAACAGACTTGGATTTATTGTCAAACAAGCCATAAATGTGCAAAGTAGCCTTCATGCCTGATGCAGTCAATATTTATTATTAGAATCAGTTGTATTTTTTGAACGAGAAATTACACCTCAACAAAAGAATGTTAATTTCACATTTGGTTCCCCACATTTCCGTGGTTTCAATTTATAAATAGCTTTTCTTTTTTTGTTTTCTTTTTTTTGAGATGTAATTTTTTTATTTCAAAAGTATATTTAAAAATCATTATAAGCCCTTAAATAATGAAATAAATATTTTCTATTACACCTTTAGAATGGAAAGATCTCACTCTATTAATTTTGACAATCAATATTACCAAAGTCACCCATCTGAACCATTTTAACACACATCTAATACTTTAAAGTCCAAACTGAACATAATTAAAGTGTTGGAGATCAAATGAACCAAAACAATTAGCCCTTACTTCTATGGTGTGCATTGGTGACTTGGTATACAAACTGTGGTTGCAGGCATGACGTGCTTGTGATGGTTAGTGGAGGCAGTGGCATTGCTCCATTCATCTCCATCACGCGTGACCTCATCTTCACAACCTCAACCCTAAAATCCACCACCACTCCACAAATTCTTCTCATCAGTGCATTCAAATTTTCATCCGACCTCGCCATGCTAGACCTTCTCTTTCCACATTCCAAAACCCCATCTGAACTTCTCAACTTGGAACTCCACATTGAGGCCTACATAACAAGAGAAAAACAACCCATATCGGAGAACGAACAAAAGCCTCTCCGAACCATCCGGTTCAAGCCTAATCCCTCGGATGCCCCCTTGTCTCCCACTTTAGGCCCCAATGGTTGGCTCTGGCTCGGTGCAATCGTGTCATCATCTTTCATCGTCTTCCTTCTCTTCATGGGGATTCTTACCCGGTTCTATATTTACCCCATCGATCACAACACGAATAGGGTTTACTCGCACACTTCACAAGCTATGTTGAATATGTTGCTCGTATGCATAGCCATTGCCATGACAGGTTGTGTAGGTTTTGTTTGGAGCAAGAAACAGATAGCCATGGAAGCAACAAAACAGGTTCAAGATATGGAAGGTGGAAAGCTAACTAGGTTTAGTGATGATAGGGAGTTGGAAAGCCTACCTCACCAGTCTATTGGCAAACCTAACAATGTGCATTATGGTGGAAGGCCTGACCTAAAGAGTAAGTAAAGCTTTCTCTAGAGCACATGTAAATAAAATTCAATTTATTTATGGTCTACGACAGTTCAATTTTAAATTTATACGGTACATTATACTTTCATGATAGAATTATAAGATATTTTTAGAGAAAACTACACCATAGTGTCAATCAAAATTAATTACAAATAAATAATAAATATTAATAATATTAATAATTAAAAATAAAAACTTTGACATAAATTTGTAATAATTTTTTTCTCTCCTTACTAACCAGTGATTTCCCCATATTTTTATGGTTCCTGGAATTATTCTTCTCCAGAGTGCCAGTCCATAACTAATTCAAACTAGTAGTTTAAGGGCATGGGCTTGTCCCCCTCTCCACGATATAGACTGGATAGTATTGTCCACTCCGTGAGGCCCATGAAGAGTTTTGTTTTGATGTGATTTATTTGTTTTGTTGATTTATATGTGTTGATCATTCATAAAGGAAAAAAATCAGATGGATTTGTTAATCATACCCATATTATTTCATCATGTTTTAAAAAAATGACGGTATAATTTTAAAATTATATACTCCTCAATTTTTTTAAAGACAAATATTATAAAATCATTTGAATATGATTATTGAATCAATTTATTTTTTTATGGATAATATATACCTAAATACATTTAAAATAAATAGATTAGATCATCAAAGTGGGAATCATAGTGGGTCCCAAATACACAAACAACACTGTTGAGTCTAAATTTCGATAGAAGATAATCTAGTTTAATTATGCCTCCGTTTGGAAAGTGGGTTGGCTTTTTGGCTTTTTGGTTTTTTTGACTATTTTAGCCTGGGCTAAAAAGCTTGGTTTGGGAAGGGCTTTTTGGCTTTTTGGCTTTTTTTTGTGAGAGAAGAGTGTAATGATTATGGGTTGGATGTGATGTTTTGTTTGTTGTGGCTAAAATAGCCTGTTTTGTCTTTTGTGGCTATTTTAGCCCCAACCCACTTGCCAAACACCACCTATGTATCCAAACCGAGTTCGAACCTAAATTCGAATATTTTTTGCTTGAGCTCATTTAGTATGCAATTCTATATTTGAGCCAATCTCAAGCCTCAATTTGAATTCACTCCATTATTTAGCTCAGTTCAATTCATTTGCAATCTTACAAATTAACTGAGGTGGGTATTGCAGGAATTTTGTTAGAGCGCAAGGAGTCAAGTGTTGGAGTTCTTGTTTGTGGGCCTAAGAATATGAGACATGAGGTTGCGGCCATTTGTTCATCTGGGTTGGCACACAACTTGCATTTTGAGTCCATTAGTTTTAGCTGGTGATGTGATTCACACATCCATTACAAAGATGAATGGGGCTTAGAAAGTGAATCTTCAAAAATGACATAAAGCGTAATGTATTGTTGAGATCTATGTTTATTAAAGTTCATAAAAAATGATTTGTACATTCAATATTTGTTTCTCCTTTATATACTATGTTTTTGCATATAGTTGTTCAGGCAACTTGTAATAGTATTATTATATTGGAGTTTTGGGTTCAACCTCGCATATAAAATATAGATTTTATTTAAAGTTTTTTTATGGTATTTTGTATAATTTTTTTTTTTTGGAGGAATAGATTTTACTTTATAAAACTAATTATAGGGGATTAGAGTTCCCAACATTATAGATATATTACTGAGAAATTAATTCGTTAATTGGCTTTAATTCCTTAATTATTTCCTTCTAATTGAAAAAAAATAAAAATCCTTAAATAACTGAAAATAAGTATTTGACAGTAAAATACAAAACTTAGAAATGCCCTCGAGTAATTAGTCCCTGCCCATTGGGTGGTTGTCTCCGGATTGATTAAAATAGTGGGGTCCACTATTTATATGGGAGAAAATCGAGTGATGATGATTTTATCATATGTTTATATTTTGTAATATGATTTTATTTATTTTACATAAACTCGACAAGCTCATCAATTTATTGACCTTGCAGCTTTTTCTATCACTAGCAGTTTCGCTGAACTTTCTCAAACGAGTCCTCATTTCTTCTCCCACCTTCAACACCATGGCGCTTTTTAAAGACTTAGGTAAAGTTTGACAATTCAAAAATAATCTATCTTTTTATCTTTTTACTATAAGAATTAACATTTTTACCGACTAAAAAATTGGTCGCTAAAAGTCCATTTTTGGTCGGTAAAAGTTATCCGCAACTAATTTTTTTGGTCGCTACTTTGGTCGCCAATTGAGAGTCGGCAAAAGTAATTCACGACAAAAATTTTGGTTGGTCGGGAAAAGTTAGATTTGCCGACTAATTTTTTGGTCGCTAAATATATCATTACCGCGACTAATTCATTTAGTCACGAAAAGTGATATTTTTCCGACCAAATATGTTTGTCGCCAAAAGCAAAAAATCGGCGACCAACTGTTTTCGTCGCCAAAAGTTGAGAAATCACCAACTAATAATTTAGTCGTCAAAAAGTAAGGAATTGCTGACCAATGATTTTAGTCGCAAAAGTGTAGAATTTGGCGACCAATTATTTAGTCGCCAAAAGACATTAAACAATCAACGACTAATTAGTTAGTCGCCAAATCTTTTTTTTTTTTTTTAACAATCAATTTTTGTTTATAAACATTCAATCCAATATTGAACAAAATTCATTCAACCCAACCCAAATATAACATTAAAATTCATCATATTTTCCTGCTCAATCCCAAACTTTACAATCATTCCATTCAAAACATTAATTGAGACAAGTTTTAAACATCCATCCATTGAAAACCAATAAGTAATTGAACAAAAATTAAAAGGAAAATCAATGAAGGAATCCAAAAAAAATCCTAAAACTGGAAGGAATATATATGGTTTTGAAGCATCAGCCTTGTGCTTGATCGTTCTTTTCACCAAGCATGTTCTTTTCATCAAGCATCAGCCTTGTTCTTGATCAAGCAAAGAGACCTTTTCCCATACTCCCCATGTCCATTGCAATTACCAGTTGCGAACATTGTCCAATATCTTCCAATGCTCTGACCATTAATCCATACTTGACCTTTTCCCATACTCCCCATGTCCAAAGCCAGAGGCTCGTCTCCGTCAGGTGCATTGAAATAAGCCTGCAGCGTTGGAAGACAGATTAAACTCGTAATGCCAATGAATCATTTCCCTGTACATACTTAAATTGAGTCTTTCTGAAATTGATTTTAAATTTTATATTCTTTATATACCTTATGCCATGTTAATAGAAACAAATAAAATAGTTTTAAATAAACTAATTAGTATCAAAGGAACAATAAAATATAAACAAATACAATCCCAAGTTTATAGTTTTTATTCTTCCCACTTCCAACATCTTATTAATCTTGCATGCAAGCATGGATACACACATGGCATAGATAACTAATACAATTTTAATTTAGTTTATTATGCAATCATTTGATGAATAAAATATAATGAAAATGCATAATTGATCAATTAATTAAGATATGTATACGTACCCATGAAGCAAAGGTGTTGGCATCATGTTCCTCGTAGCCAAGTGATCCAAGCATCCTTTTGTCACAAGTCAATGTCCTGAAAACAATAATACATAAATGGAACAATTTACAAGCTAGGGAATCCTTTTATTTGCATCAATAATACTCTTTCTTTTTGCTGATCAAAAAAAGAGAGAAGATATTGATAACATATGTTGGATTAAATAATTAGTTATGATGAGTGAGGTTTTAGGACTATAAATAATCAGCTCTCATAAATTTTACAAATTACTGACATATGTTATCTTTGATGATCTATAATTTGTCAAATTCGAACTGTCAGTTAACTCTGTTACCCCGCATCAGCATAAATCCCAATCTTGAGCCCTTTGCTGTGGACATAATCTACTAGAGTCTTCGTACCATATGGAAAAATTGTAGCATTTGGTACTAAGTTTCCCTGCATATATATATATATATATATATAAGACAAATGCGGCCCAACATTGATATACATATTATAGATGTATGTATTTCAATCTTCTTCTAGTATATATTAGTACATCTATATATATGTATGTATGTATGTGTGTGTGTGAGACAGAGAAATTAATTTAATCAAACCATCAAAAACTTTTGATACGTATATATATTTGAGATGCTTGATCAGAGTGAATTGTTGAGCATACACTTATGCTTGCTAGAGGCCATAGTTTTAGTTCCAACACGATCTAAACCACCAAGTCCTTTTGTTTTTAAAATTTTCTTATTTCTACTTACAATGAGACCCACCACCAACAGTGAGTATGGGGATGAAAAGTTAATCATTTCTCATATAAGTATTTTTAATTAGTTATTAAATACTCAGGATGTTATATAAGTATTTGTTCTTGCTATTTAATCATACATATATAGATATATATAATATAAATGTACAAATCATAATGGATGCAAAAGACTTTATATAGATTATTGATTTGTACCTTAGAGTCTCTGTTCAGTTCAGCCCAACAGTCGTCTGTTTAATTAAAATTCAAACGCACAAATTAACAAAAGACGTTAATACTTGTTGGATTATATAAATTAATTTTACTTTCTTTCAAAATTCAGAAGAAAAAAAAAACCCAAAAAAACTTGCCCAAATTAATGTACTCATATCCCAAGGCTGCTAACCTAGTAGAAACCATTGCATCCGCTGCGAAAGAAGAAAAATCATAGAGTTTGATAACAATTCCTCAATATATAGAGGTATATATTGGAAGTCCAAAAAAATGAAAAATAAAACTAAAAACAGTGAGACCGAATTCATATATATATATATATATATATATATATATATCATTGTATATATTTTACCAGTCTGGCGAATTAGTTGGTCGCTGAGCTTGCATGGGAAGTGGTTATAACTGTTCCATCTGCAGTGCGTACCATAATATTCATTATTGCCACACAAGTATGAATGAATGATTCTGAATATATAATCTCATGTTTAAATTTATATGCATATATGGAGTTGAGTATATTGGACTTCATCTTTATACTACAATATACTTTGTTTGCTCTCTTAAATTCCCAGCCTAAGGTGTTTAAAAATTTATTTGAGGGGTCACAAATAACAATCCAAACAGGCTAATTAATGTGTACAAATTTTGTTTAGGAAGTGACAAATGGCACAACATATGTTATTTTTTTTAGAAAGAACCATTCAAGGTAGGTAGGATCATGATTCTCTGTAGTAGATGGCTCTCCAATAGTTTTGCTGTGTAATCCAGCAATTTATGTTTAAAGTTTAAATAAAATTAAATCATTTTAGAGTGTAGTATTAAGGTCATTTTATTGAGCAATTCTTCCATGCAAGAAGACTAAGGACACATAACCACACCCATAGAACTAACTAACTAAAATATTTTGATTATACATATCAGATGGTGGGACCTATTATAAAAACATTATAGTTTCACTCAGATTATTTCATGTATTTATGTTTTATGCAGTTGATTCCATGGTCCATTATAAGTTCATAGACTTTTAGTTCTTCCATGCAAGGAGGAGATGGTCAAGGCAGTGCCTTCCTCCATTTTGATTGATTTTGAATGTGGAGTCTATCAATTTGTGTAGGGGGTGTATGGGAGACAAGAGAGGTGCTGATGATTAGTAATTGGTGTAACCTCACGTGATATCTTCTAGACATTTAAGATTTTTTTTTCATTTTCTTCTAATTTTAACTTATCATTGCATTAGATACTTGGTTGACGTGTTTTATTATGATAAAAAAGCACAATAATATTGTTGTAGAAAAATCATAGCTGAGAAATAGACTCAACTACGGATAGAAAACATCAACAATCATTTGCAAAATTACTAATATTAAATACGACTATGTCAATTCCAAAGGGGCGTCAAACTTGCAATATATAGCCTTACGATTCATCACATGACAAAACCTTTACTACTAGAAGTAATGGTATACAAATTAAAACCAGCTGAATTGTTTCTCTAATTATATTATTCGATGAAGTCCTGTTTTAAATTCTGAAATTTTATCTTTGTGTGTCACATCTATTAGTATTTTTTTTACAAAAATTATTAATTTATATGGCATTAGCTTGTTATAAGTGGACAACCATGAAAGGTAATTCCATCGGGGAGGTGGGGGGTTGGGGTTGGCAAATAGCTGGGTATTGATCGGTCCAAAAAAGTCTAGGTGAGTGTGTGTAACGTAATTAAGGACTTAGCATCCTCTCTAAGCTGAAAATTTATTTTTTTTTGTTCCATATGGTAGAGTAACCTAAGAAACAATATTAAGATCGGTCGAGGCCATATTTAGGGTCATTTTTCCTTTCTCTAATCCCTTTAAATTGTATTTGCCAAATAAACCACTATATTTCTATAAAAAAAAATTTGCTAAAATAACTAAGAGGGCAGATGAAAGTGTTTTCATTTTTGAATTGGTACAGATATCCATCATTTCAGCACATATCAGTTTGAAAGGGCGGCATGTGACTAGATATACTTCTAAAATGAAATTATTTGGCAATGTACCTGAAAGTTGTCCATTTATGAACACATGCAGAGCATGCCCTGTTGACTGCATTATGAGAGTAGGCAGTTCACCAGCACGCAAGAATGATTCAGATGAACCGATATCAACATCATTGCATAGAGTCTGCAACCAATAGAATAGCACTTAAATTCAAGCAAAGAGACGGGTATAAAAAAAGCAGAACACAGGGTAGAAATTCTTTATGGAATGAAAGATCATTTGTTCTGTTAGAGGTAATAAAAAGTGATAAGGCATTATGCTGACAATAGAAAGCAAATTAAACACGTCCATATCATCAAATCTTGAACTCCTATAACAACCAAATAGGTAATGAGTTAATGACTTCTATTAAAGGAAAGTGAGAAATCCTGAAAAAGCAACATACAGCTCTTGGACATGCAAGTAACCATCAGCCATGACTGAATCAAAGCATAAAACTCCTCTCCATTTGGATGTACTTGGATCCCCTTTATTCCAATTATTCAGATGGTTTATAGGATCAATTAAATTGCTCTTGATCGCTATTAATACAGAGACTGCAAAGATAACAAATCATCAGCTAATTCTCATCATAAACTAATTTACAAATAGAAGGTCCAAATATCTCCACAGCAAGCATAAAAATGGGAAGTAGATGGTATCAGTCCCATTCCTTGTTAAATGCACAAATAATGTGAGACACACACACTCATCAAAATATAATTAATTTTAAAACCTATTATCCCTAATATAACACACAAACATGTATACACAACATGTAATTGCTTCAGTTATCAATATGTTTTAAAGGAAAAAATATAGAATGATTCTCAGTTCTATTTTGGCACTAGAAGTGAAAAAATAATAAATTAGATGCAATGACCTTATCGCATGTATTGAAATCAAAAGAAGTGGATAAAGAAGTCAAGGCTTGTAATCTGTATCAGTGCATGCTTGCAAATTAACTTATGTAGCTGGTTCAAATCATGGGAAACAATAGTTATTTAGAAAATTCTTGTGTGACCGCAAAGCCCATAACCCGCTATCAGAGAGGGATACACACCATATCCCATTTAACCAAGTGAAAAGTTCCTCTAAAGTTTCTCTAACCTATTCACCACCGAGACAGGAATGGTCAAGAGATGGACAAAATAAGAAGGAAAACTACATAAAGTACTCTTAATCAGAGTTAGCCTTCATCCTTTTGAAGAAATGAACCCAAATGGAATCAATCCACCATGTGTCTGGCACAACCCACTAAACCCTTCACTCTCAGCAATAGTCAATCAAGAAATGGACTAAATCCCTCTCTCCGTACTAAAATTCACCGCATTATAAAAATAAGAAGGAAAACTACATAAAGTACTCTTAATCAGAGTTAGCCTTCATCCTTTTGAAGAAATGAACCCAAATGGAATCAATCCACCATGTGTCTGGCACAACCCACTAAACCCTTCACTCTCAGCAATAGTCAATCAAGAAATGGACTAAATCCTTCTCTCCGTACTAGAATTCACCGCATTATATATATATAGAGAGAGCGAGAAAGAGAGACAGAGAGAGACCGAGGGCAAAGGCTAGAGAGGGAGAGAGCGAGGAACAGAGAGAAACAGACAGACAGACCGAGAGTGAGAGAGAACCTGTGAGGATGCGGCGGCGGCGGTGACGGTGGCGCTAGCAGTGGCGTGCGACGCTGGTCAGCGATGAGGTGAGATTGGGTGAGGATCCCCCAGAAATGAGGAGTCCATTAGACAGAGGGCGAGGGCGATGGTGATAGCGAAGTGCAACGGACGTTCGCAATGGTGGTAAGGGACTTCGGTGAGCTTGAAAGAGTGGGCACCGATTGGGAGAGAGAACATAGAGAGAGGGAGAGGGCGGATCAACATACTACATAGAGAGCAAGTTAGAGACAGAGAGGAGATTAGGGCCTTTTTTTAATTTTTTTTTTGTTTTCCAGGTACAAAACGATGTTGTTTTTTGATTGCCGACCAAATTTTTTTTGTCGCCAAAAAATTTCATTTCCCCCCTCCATGTTTGAAATTTCCCTCCCAAACTTTTGGTGACCAAAACACCATATTAGTCGCAAAAAAGGTACCTTCGCCAACAAAATTTTTTAGTCGCCAAATCTCAATCAACGGCGACTAAAATATTAGTCGCTAAAAGTACAAATTTGGCGACTAATTTTTTTTGGTCGCCAAAATGTAACCTTCCGCGACCAAATTTGTAGTTGGTCGCCAAAAGCATACCAATTTCTACGACTAACTCGTTTTTGGTCGCCAAAATGTGACCTTCTGCGACCAACTCATATTTGGTCACCAAAAATATTGATCATTCGCAACTAATTAATATTTGGTCGCCAAATGTCATTTTTTTGCGACCAAAATTTTTTTGGTCGGCAAAAGTGGTTGGCAAATGTGTAAATTCTTGTAGTGTTTTTCTATCACATCACTTCTCTACTTTTCTGTACATCTTTTTGTAAAAAGACAAAAAGTACACTTATTTAGGTCATCCCAAACAATCCCTTAATGTCATCCTAAACGACCTGTCTTTGCCTTTCTCCAGTTTAATTGCCAATTCTTTCTCCACAAGCCATCACACATTGAAGCATTGATCGAAAATAAATGGCAAAAGAATAAGACAATACCCGAATCCTTAAGGCTTGTATTGCACATAAAATCAAACAACGAACTATCAATAGATGGAAACGCCAAAAATCTCCAATTGTAATGCCCATTCAATCCTCAAAATTAGAAAACAAAAACAAAAAAAGTAACGGTGTCGTTTGGTAACACTTACATTTTCAGTTTTCTGTTTATATTTACAAAAATTTTAAAAACTCAAATAAAAACTTGTTTGGTAAAATTTTTGATTTATAAATCAGTGGTCTCAGTTTATAAATTTGGCCAAAAAATGAAAACACAAAAAATGGGTTTCCGTTTTGAGTTTTAAGGTTTTTTTTTTTTTACCACCCAACACTAGCCACCACTCGCCACCATTTTCCACCACCGTCTTTACGTAAATTACAATTGTGAGTTCGGATTAAAACCAAAATAAGAAACCAAAAACAATATAAACATAAAAAAGAAAGCCCAAATATAAACCACCTACCGGGTCACGGTATATAGGATACACAGGAATTTCTTCGCGGTTTAGGAACATGGCTTCTGCAACTACAGGTCCTATTAGGCACAACATCAGATTGATTAGAACTAAACAAGGAAAACAAAACAGGAGAAACTATGTTTTACCTTTTAATCTATAAATAACTAGCATTGATTTAAGAGGTCAATTTGTGTTCTCAACATTCAAAATTAAGTCATAAATAAGAAAAAGAAGTACCAGGCTTGACGACATGGCGATTGGTGAGAATAATCCCGCGCTGCTTATCAACGACAAAGCCCGTGGCGTAGCTGGCACCGGCAGATTCGGTGTCGAAAGCCCGACAAGCGGTGGTCCGAAGCACGACCACAGCCGGAACCACCTTATCGAGCGCCTTCCGCCAGTCATCGGTGGTGGCAAGATTATCTCTGATCGGCGGGTCAACCTCCACCATGCACAGCTCCTCCTTCATACTCGACTCCTCCGATCCCAACCTCTCCAACCACCCGCCACCCACTCGCCACCACCCACCTGCCGCCACCACCACCCACCACCCGCCACCGTCACCCACCCACCACTACCACCACCACCACCACCCACCGTCACTACTTTCCACTACCGTCTTCCGCCGCCACTTGCCACCACTTGTCATTTCTCACTGTTTTTTATATTTTTAAACATTTTGTCAATTACCAAACGCGTTTGTAGTTTATATTTTTCTAAAAATAAACAAAAAATAAATAAAAACCAGTTTATAAAATTTTTGTAAATATAAACTGAAAACATAAACGTTACCAAACAAGCAGAACATATATCTCTTTTATTAATTAAATCAACTTGATTAAAATTAAGGAAAAATTACAAAATAATAACATTTTCCAACTTGTGCTTGAAACCTAACGGCTTCCATAAAAACAACATTTTTTCTTTCTTAATTAGTACGTAGAATAAAACTTCAATGTAAAATTAGTAATTTTGCATCTTAAAAAGTAAGAAAAATTAAATTTACTTTAAAAAGTTTAGGATAAATTACAAATACACCCCCTGAGATTTATTAAAATACAAATTACCCCATGTGGTTTAGAAATTACATTACGTCCCCTATGGGTTTTAACTTCATAACAAATAAGTCATTTTATTAATAAATCATCAAGTTAATTAACAATTTTTAATAATGTTAAAATTTTATTTCAATTAATAATTCAAATAATTTTATTATATTGTATAGGTGAACAGTTAAAAATTTCACTTTTTTAATTAATTTTATTAAATAAAAAATTCGGACAAGGAAGTATTTATAATTTTCCAAACCATAGGAAACAATTCGTATTTTAAGCAAACTTTAAGAAGTGCATTTGTAATTTACCCAAAAATTTATTATTTGAAAAATAAAAGTAATAGCTATATGAATTAATATTTAAACATCAAAAGGTTATTGTTTGAGATTTTGCTTCAGGGCCAAGACAATTAGGCCACTCCCGCAACAACACTTTCCAGCCCATTATTTAGATCGAGTAGTGCTATTAGCACTCCATAAATTATTTTGGACCCTTCATTTCTTTGGACACTCACTTATAAATTTTGAAACCCTTGAAATTTCTATTTCTCTCCCAAATAATACCCAAATTATCCTTGTGAAAACATTACACACATTGAATGCACACCTCGAAAAAACCTCACTTCCAAAAGAATCCTAACAAAGCCCATGAAGAAGAAGAAAAAAAAGAAGAAAAGGTAATGTGATTACTGTCTCTGCTGCCTCATCCACCATTGTCAAAGTTGTTACTCTCTCTCTCTCTCTCTCTATATATATATATATATACATAATTTCTTAGTTTTCTCATAATAATTTCTTCTCTTGCAGTAAAAATTATAATAATTGGTTTAGTTTTCTCAGTAAAACAAGTCTAAACCTATGAATAATATTCGATTACCTATTTCTGAACAAATAATAAATGTTCGGTTACCGGTTCCCGAACAAATAAACAATATTCAGGCCTGTGTTCCCGAATTTCGATCATATGTTCAGGAGTTCAATCCTGATAAAATGACTAACATATTTTATTATTTTTGCCATTTTTTTCAAAAAACTTACCCTTAATCTCCTCTGACCTAAAAACAACATCAAAGCTAGGAATCTCCTCTGAGCTTTTATCGTTATACTTCCCTCATCTTATGGAGTTGTGGTTGTTAGAAAAATGTCCACTCCTTGTCATTGCCGGAGAAGTGTAGATAATCAAATGGTTGCCACTGTTACCGTCGGAATATTACCGTCAAAGGTTTTTCAAGGTTTTAAGGGTTGGTAGATTTTGAAGGTGGGATTTGGGGACGATGGAGGGGTCGTAATGGAGGTAGGTGCTCTCATAAACTCTAATTCATGATATAGTAGGTGTATAGATTTAATTATGAGATGGAGTGTTCCAAAATTAATGATATTCTTTGTAGTAATTTTATTTAAGGTTATTATTGTAATTATAAAAAATACTAAAAATTGGGGAGTCCAAAATAATTTATGGGGTGTTAATAGCAGCACTCTTTAGACTGAAGGTCAAGTTCAAAAGAATAAAAGCCTCGTTTGTTTTCCTCTATCACATTCCACTTCGAACTGTGAATGATGAACAGTGAAGATGTCTTATATTTGTTTAGGTTTTGGAGTTCTGGATTTGTAATCCCCTTCGAATTACGATAGGCCTTGGCGAGGGTATTAACTACAACATATAAGAGTTGTAGAGACCAAAGTTTTTGGTCTTTAAAAATGAAATTTTTGTTACAAAAGACATTTAGTGACAAATTTCGATCGTCGTGAAGATAGTCGCTGAAAGGTCATCTCGAAAAGTAAAAAACAAGACTGTTACCCAAAAGACAACCTAAGAGGGTGGGTGAATTAGGTTTTTACAAATACCAATAATAATACCCTAATAAAAATTATGTCTAGCACAATAGATAAATATAGTTAATGAAATAAAAATAATTAAAACATGTGTTCTAACAACTATGTCAGTTAATGATTTTAGCACAGTAAAAATGTGAAATATAGTTATGGCAATTTAAATAAAATAAAAAGATAAGGGAGAGAGAGGCAAACAAATTTATAGTGGTTCGGCTTCAACTCGGCCTACATCCACTCTTGAAGCTTCACTTGAGATTTTTCACTATACTCTACCTTCACAGAGTGCTAGCAACCTTTTCACAGATGGAGCAATCCTCCACAGATTTTACACAGACTTTCTAAATCAAGAACACTAAGTGTATTACACTCTTACAAGGTTGAAAAGAAGGTGTTTTTGCTTTCACAGAAAGCTACAAGAATTATCTCTCAAAGATAGATATAAAAATGAAGCTCTGGATTTTAATTTTTTATAGATATTTTATTGATGTTTTATTTTAAAATTTTGTTTATGTTTTATTTAATTTCATTGTTTAAATTTAATAGATGTTTTAATAGATGTTTTATTTAAACAATTAAATGTTTAATTTCAACAATAAATAATTTCATTTATTTAAATTATGTTTTATTTAAACATTTAAACATTTGTACATCAACATGTTTATTAAATTATTTCAACATCTGTACATCAACATGTATATTTATTTAACATCTATTAAATTATGTTTTAATACGTCAACATTTGATTACATTTACATTTGTTAATTGTTAATTACATCAACATTTGTTAATTGTTTAGACATAATTTGTACATCAACATTTATTTAATTGTTAATTGTTAATTGTTTAAACATAATCTGTACATAAAAATAATTTCAATGTTAATTGTTTAAATAAAAATTTAAACATGTAACCATTAGTATGTTTAATTTCAACAATAAATTTTTATTTGTTTAAATAAAAATAATCTGTACCAGTCAAAAAATTTTATCAATATTAGTATGTTTAAATATCTTTAAACAAAATTTAACCATTAGTATGTTTAATGTTTACTAAAAATAATTAAAATATTAAAGATATGTTTAATATTGCTGTTACTTAGTAAACAATTGAAAAATGGTAAAATAGTCATTTGTTCATTTATCCTATCCAGTCCGTCCAACCAAACGTTGGATTCACTGAAAATAGCCCTATCCAGACATCTAATCCCATGAAAAAACAAACACAGAATACATATCCAATCCGACCAAATAGTCCGGGGGATTCACAGTCCCAGGACTCAAGTCCGATGGATTCTAATCCCCCATTTTCCAGTCCGTCCAATCAAACACACTCTTACAAGGTTGAAAAGAAAGTGTTTTTGCTTTCACAGAAAGCTACAAGAATTATCTCTCAAAGATAGATATAAAAATGAAGCTCTGGATTTTCTATGAACCTCACACAGGAAAGATGAGCTTAATGCTATAAGGCTCAGTGTATAATTTCTGAGAGAGAATGTAATCAAAAATTGAAAAACACTTCTCAGATAATTTTTCAGAGAATAGATGTGAATGATTATAGATCAAAGAATATTTTCTGATTTTTTTGTTACTTATTTACATTAGAGGCTTTGGTATATATAATGAAACTTATAGCCGTTTATAGTCGTTGTATTCATTTGAATTTATAGTTGTTTATAGCCATTGTATTCATTTGAATTTATAGCCGTTGTATTCATTTGAATATCTTCCACTCCATCATTACCAATTTGAATATCTTCCACTCCATCATTACAAATTTGAATATCTTCTACTTGAACCTTTTGAACTACTGCTGAGCTGGACTGTTTGAACCTCAGTTTTTGGGCTGTTTGAACTCCTGATTTAATCAAATATTAAATACATTCTAACAACATTTAGGATAAAGGTTTAGGTGAGAAATAATGAGACAAAATAAATTTTGATTCTATTTTTCTTTTTCAAATAAATTAAAATATAATTAAATAAATCATCAAAGTAAATTTTGGATTCTATTTTTCTCTTTCAAATAAATTAAAACATAATTAAATAAATCATCAAAATAAATAAGTCTAACAAAGACTTTTAGCGACAAAAATTTAAAAATGTCACTAATAAATAGACTTTTGGGGACAAAATAATTTGGTCTCAAAATAGTTTATTTTTTGAGACAAAAAATTTGATCCCAAAATGATAATAATTCATCATTACTGTCCAAATTTCGTTGCTAAAAATATAATAATGACACTTTTCGTAATAAAAATATTTGGTCCCAAAAAAATAATTTTGCCCCTAAATTTTAGTTTCTAAAACCTTAATTCTTTGTAATGATTATTAGTCTGGGCGAGGAGATAGTATTAAAAAATAGTCCATGCGGCTTAGGGTGGTACTGGTCGTCTCCGGCCAGCCAGTCAACTGCAAATATATATATATATATATTTTACATGTTTGAACATTAATGTTGTTTTTTTTTTTTTGGTTAAGTAAAAATCATAATTTAATTTGTTTTATTATTTTATATTTGACATCGATGGACCCACAAAAGGTTTTGGCCCACAACTTAAAGCCCAATTCACAGCTCAAGCACTAAAGCCCAACACCCTTGAGAACCCAGAGTTGAA